GCCTATTGGCAGAAAAGTGCATTTTTAATGGTTTTGGAGATCTGCAGAGAACCAGTCCCCAACCTTTCCGGCTCTGCAGACCGGTGGTGGCATAGAGGGGATGGTTTTGTGCATGTGCCGCTTGCACAAAGGCAGCTTTGCGTGCTCACCTGCTGCTTGCACGGCCCTGGTTCCCAACAGGCCATGGCCTGGCACTGGGCCACAGACCGGGGATTGAGGAACCCTGCTACAGAGCAAAACCCAAAAATCTGGAATAAAATCAATGCTTTTATAACAATAGCAAACCAAGCAAGTAAGTTCTACCAGTCAGACAAAAGTCCTATGTAATACTTTCTCTTAGAAATAGTTTTTTTTTAGAAAACTGCAGAAGACTAGCAGAAAGTATCTATGAATAGCGACTGGCAGTCAAAAGATATGACGAGAAATCCTTCATCTCACAACACATGGACAAACTCAATCACAGTTTCAACTGGGAAACTGTTAGTACGTAAGATCAAGCCAAATCAAAAAAAGAGGTAGGGAATTCCTAAAGCTTGGCATTCAGACAAATTGACCATCAACAGGTACATAGAAATAAATCATATTTACACGGCATTCAAAAGACACCGTAAAAAAAGCTAACAAGGAAACCAAAAAACCAGAATACCTCCCCTCCATCAGCCAATACCCAGATAATACCAGACACACAATTATGCAGAAAACAATTCCCTAATGAAGGAACCACATCCCCATCCAAACTGACAGGGCAAGTTGCTGCATATAAGCACAGAGCAACATTCCACACCCACTAGCACTGATGATGTTACCAAGTTGGATAATGAAACATCTGCAAGCAAGCAAGCTTAGAAAGAACATCACAATTCAACTCTGAACTACATAATGTCAAGGTTGAATTGCTAAGATGCCTGCTAATTTCTATCGCTACTCAAATGGGGGAAGAGTAGAAACCTTAGGGAGTAAACAGGATTCTAAGAAGCCGTCCATGGACCGTGAGAGCCTACAAGAATGTCAAGTCACTAACGCAGGTATCTGGCAGAGAAGTGGACCATTCCCATAACAAACCAAAGATATATGATTGGGCAACATGAACACCTGGTGGGTGGGGGTTAAGGGAAGCTATTGTTAACTAGGCAAATTTTCGCACGGGAAGATCAGAGCTGGTTTTGCTTCTTCAGTTCTGAGATGTGTACTCAATAAAGTTTTACCTTTTATGGTACTTTAAAGCCTCGAAGATTCCTTGATTTTGAGTTTTCTAATTGGAACTCATTGATGTAGTTTTTGCCTTACAACCAATGTTTGCCTTACAACTAATGTTTAGTGACCAAAATTACAATGGCACTAAAAAAGTGACTTATGACCATTTTTCACATGACAGTCCCATGGTCCTGTGATCAATATTTGGGCACTTGGCAACTGGCATGTATTTATGGTTGTTGGAGTCATGTGACCATCTTTTGCGACCTTCTGACAAGCAAGAGCCAATGGGGAAGCCAGATTCACTTAACAACTGTGTTACTAGCTTAACAACTGTGGCAAGAAAGATCATAAAATGGTGCACAACTTACTTAACAACTATCTTGCTTAGCAATTGAAATCTTATGCTCAATTGTGGTTGTAAGTCGAGAACTATCTGTATACTCTTGTCTATCCTTTTATTTTTACCTAACAGGTAAAGCAATGAAAAAACACAAACTTAATTTATTGATATTAGTCCGTGCCATTTTCACTCATGATTGATTAAGGCACTTAAGGTGCACTGGCAATTATCTTGACAGTAGCTTGTGGAAGGCCAGTCCTCCTAAGTCCATCTGAGATTTTTCAGAATCACCGTGTGGTCAGGTCTACCCTGTTAAGATTCTGGTTCTACCTTTTTTTGCTTGGCATGTGCAATATGGAAACTCTTCCTGGTGCTTCATCAGTAAAGTTCATCATCTTTGCCTCCCGCCCACTGCCCCATTACTGTCTGATATGCAATTATTTTGGCTCCCAAATTGGCATTACTGGAGTGCCTTTCCAACTAAGCTAAATAATAAATTATATAATTAAGGCCTATCTACTGTTATGTCTTGCTGAAGTCTCAAGCAATGTTCAGCGAATGTCCTTTCTCCTCATGCCTCCATCAAATAAGGTCAGGAAAGTAGCAATTAAATGATGTTTTATTAATGAAGTTTTATATGTGGTATGCCCTCCCAAGAGAGACTTGCTTGGCATCTATAATATGGCCCATTCTTTCTCCAAAATATTTTAAACTAAGTCATTGTCTCACAACTGGTTGCTTAACAACTGTTCAAACTTACAACAAACTCGGAAAAAAATATTTATGACCTGGACTCAAGAGTAATGCTTGTTGTATCACTCTGCAGTCATGTGATCATATTTGAGGTACTTACCAACTGGCTTATATATACAACCAATTGCAGCATCCCGCAATTATTTTTTATGGGGCATTTTACAGTTTTTTGGCAAAAAACATTGGATAAACTGGATTTGGAGTTACAACCATGTGACTCACTTAGCAACTATGATTGTAAAATTTAATCTGGTCACACGGCAACTCGACTTACAACTGCAATGACTTATGATCAAAATTCCGAGCTCAATACGAGGGCAACCTTGTAATATGAATTTGTATATGTTATTGTTTACTACTGGTGACCTAGCCAGTAGTATTTAATTCTTCTTGTCATTTTCTCTTTGTGAAAATTTACACATACATATGGTTTAGAACAGTGGTGGCGAACCTATGGCACGGGTGCCAGAGGCGGCACTCAGAGCCCTCTCTGTGGGCATGTGTGCCATCGCCCCAGTCCTAGGCCTTCAGCTGGGTTTTATAAAACCTTTTCGCTTTAGGCCTCTGCCACCATGTGCAAAAAAAAAAAGGTTCAATCAATCAGTCAATTTCAACTTCTCGCGGGGGAAAAAAAAGATCTTGCAAAGTTGGGATTGATTGATTGAACTTTTTACTCCCACCCAGTCTGCCGTTACCACCGCAGCCACGCCCACCCAATGGGACACGCCCACCCAAATGGTCACACCCACCCGGCACCCAACGATGCATAAGTGGGTTTTGGGTTGCAGTTTGGGCACTTGGTCTCTAAAAGGTTCGCCATCATTGGTTTAGAAGATTAGCAGAGTATATTCCCAAGAGCGTATGCCATTTAACAACCTGGATATATGAGTTACAAAACAGTTGGCAAGTCTACTCCATACAGCATACAATTCATTGGCATCCTTCAGTCTCGAGAGACTATGGTATTGTGCTCTGGAAAGAGGTCCTAAGGCAGCATCTGGTGTGGCTAAAAAGGCCAATTCGAAACTTAATATGGAAACTCATAAAGAAACACAAGATACTGAGTAATTCATTTGTATGCAAATCTGAACTTTTTTTTATCACTATAGAAGCCCGAGGTCCTTATTAACATTTTGCATTTAAAAAGGTATTCATTTTAGCCCTGTCATACTTTGTCACTGAACGTTTTCATCCAGCTTAAGCATTGTGCTATCAGAAAATGACTAATCAACCTGCTTTCAGACATTTACTTGACAACATAAATGCACCTTGTCATGAACATTTCCAAAAGTGTATTTAAGTAAAGTTTCAACAGAGAGTTAAAAAAAAAACAGTGGACTGAAGCCAAATGTGAATAACTATGCCCATTTTATACTGCCTCTATTAATTCAAATGGAATTTCAATTTGAGAGTTTGGGGACAATACGGATTTGCTCAGGGAGAGATATCAATATTATCTTAGTTCCCTGAGTGTTATTTACACTCTTATATTTCAGTGCTTTTCATATAGCAAATTTGTAACCATTTTAAATTACAAACCACAATAGCAGCAAATACAAGTTATTACAACTATTTTTGTTGTTTAAATAAAAGCATGCTTTTAATAGTTTAGTTCCTCATTCTTAGTCATAGAAGCCATCTAGTTGCTGACAGGAAGCCCATAGGATAATAGCACCCTTCTGCTAATGTTTCCCAGAACTGATAATCAAAAAATACAATAATAAAAGTAGTATACATTTATTGACTCCTTCTACACATGCTATTTTCCACTCCATCTTAAGGAAAATATTTAAGTACACAATTTATTAAGAGGCAAAAATGAAACCAAGTAAGCCTAATTCCTCAAAACTACTAATTTAGCCAAGTGGGTAGTTAGAATCAATATAATGCCTGGTGATTGGATGTACTTTTGTTAGCTATTGGTTGACTGGCATTCATAATACAAAGACAAATAAACATGTGTTTGACGCAAAAGGTAAAATCTATGTTCTAGTCAAGATCAGTCCAAAGACAAACAAAAGCAAGTGTGATAGAATAAAAAAGGTATTCTTTCTGATATCCCATGTAGCTAAGATTATTGCAGATGAGAGGATCTGAAAAACTGAAGGCTAAAGAAGAATATTAGCTTCCCCATTCATTGTAAAATACTTAAAACTGGATAAATACTTGAATTTAGTGACAAATACCTAACATTTACTGATCAGTTTCAATGTAACTGAAACATTTGGTTGAAGTTTGATTTATAATAACGTATAGACTTCAAATATTTGGTTTATAACTTAGAGCAAAATTATGAAAAAATAGCAGGTTGTGGGGCTACAAGATTAAAGTTTTATGCCAATGCAGACTGAGTTCTTGATTTTTACTACGGAATCCGATTAATAGTTCCGCAGAAAAGAAGGGCCATATTCAACAGGCAAATATACCTAAGCAGAAATCTCTTTCTAAAGAGCGTCATATTTGAAAAGTTAAAACATTGTTGATCAATGGTGAGCGCTCTCTTAATTAGGTGCTATATTCTGGTTGCAATGAAGTCATGCAGTTGAATGATGATCACCAAAACAATCTAAATAAATGAATACCTGACTGTCTTTTTCTTCGTCTCATGGACAGCAATTACATCAAATTCATAGCCCTATTCTAATGGGACACCTCTGCTGAGCTACTGAAGCATAACACATACCTGTGATGTGTCCTTCATAACACATACCTGTGATGGCCCATATGCCTGGCTCTTTTTATGTGTCCAACTCCCCTGCAGCCTGCTGTAGGGCACCCTCCTTGTTCTAAAGCTTCTACTAATTCCAGTGGACCTAGACAAATAATACAAAAACCAACTTCAGCATTAGCTTCATATTTACTCAAATCACAGGGGTGGGCAATTAGTTTTCCTAAGATGACACGAGAAATGGACTGTGGTGGAGGCCTGCCACCATTCTGTTCCCCCCCCCCCCCAGGTGAAGGGCCAGATGTGGCCCTGGGTCATAAAATGCCCAAGTCTGCACTAGAATGTAAACGATGACCCCTATGATCTCTTTTTAAATGCTAAATAGTGTTCAAGTTAACATAAAATATTTGAATTACACTGCAACAATGTGATTGGCTCTTCAATCAAATCGTATGAATATTGATAAAACAATGATTTCTATAGCTTTGAAGAAATCCACCTGGAATTCTTTTCATGGGTTAGTGAACATGTACACATTTTCTCTTCTTGAAAATCAGAATACCCACAATTATAAGAGGCTTCAATTATCAGGGTTTCCCAACGTATCCATTGGTTTCCATAGATCTTGCAAGCATTCACTCTATGAATTATTACTACACAATTTGGCTCTGCCACAGCACATTATTTTGTCAACACAGAAGAAAACAGGCTGGTAGGTATTTATTGTATTTTTTGCATTTTTATTATCTTACTAAGAGGAGGCTGAAGAGGATGTCCAGTTTTTCCACACCAGCCTGCAGGATGTATGTCTGGGCTATCTGCATCAATCCAATAGTCATAAATACTATCCCAGCCATCAAAGTGGATCTAAAACATAAAGATATAGAATGTTGAGACTAAAAAGATTTCCCTTGTAGTCTTCAGATTACTTTTTTTTAATAAAAAAATAATTAGATTATTTATGAAGAACTGTAAGTGTCAAATGATACAAAAGCACATCATGTTTGTACTAATGGTGGTGGTTTTATATTTACCTTGCCAAGATAACAATTCCAGTTATATTTTAACAAGTCCTTTAAGTTATTAATGCATGTCTCAAGCTTCAAAACATTTCCAAATTCAATCTTCGCATGATGTTTGGCTCCCAATGCTAAATGTAGCTCAGCTCATTTCTTTTCTGGAGCCTGCCAAATGCTTATCAAAAATGGTCTAAGGTTCACTATGGGTTGTTTTGGCCAAAACCCAGAAATAAATGCTTGTTTTTGGCAATAACATAGTAAAACGTGGTCATGTGACTGCAGGATGCTGCAAATGGCTGTAAATACAGGTACCCCAAAGCCCCCCACCCAGAATTTCTGAACCGATCATAAATACCTCTTGGGTGGTCAGTTGTCAGTGACCAGTGGTAAGTGACCAGTGGTAAGTTGAGGACTACTTGTAATTTCTCTTAACTAAGTTACTCCAAATTGTTCTCAAATTATTCCAAAGTAAAGCATCAAATGTTTAGATCCTGAAATCCCTTTATCCTAATCACTGTGATCTGTCATTATGATTTATCCTAACCATAACACTGTAATTATGAGGTAAGTACTCAAGAAATTAAATTCTGGTTATCACCCCCCAAAAATCAAGATGATGTTGATTGACTTTGTAGGTCTGAAATCACAAACCATGGTTAATTTACCAAATTAGCAAGCCAAAGTGTCACTTCCTTCACTTTAGTATAACAGTGGAAACAGCTGGCACAATCATTTGAATTAACACCGAAAACAGTTGATTCTTTCTTCAACTACTGACAGCACAAATTAACAGTGCAATTAGGAGTAAAGTGTAATATGTATCTCCACAGGATGCAAACCTCAAAATCCTTGCAAACTGAAAAAGATGGAAAGTGATTTTGTTTTGATTACGTGTTTATAGGAGATTTTGGGTGCAAATTTATAGGGTGCCTTGGGAATGTGTGAGAGCATCAAGTCTAATCACAGCTTGTAGTCCCCTTACATGCTGCTTACTGTTATATGATACAACTCTTTGTTGCAAAAAGATTGCCCATAGTACAGATACCCATAAAGTTAAACATCAATGTTGACTGAAAGCCCATCAAAATTAAACAGAACTGAAACAAGATCTTATGTTGGTGCTCTTTAGGGAATCTACCATACTATATTCCAGATAAATTTTCTGTTAAAACTGGTGAGTATATATCTGAGATTAGCCCACCACAAATAAAAAAAAATACCACTTTCATATCTAATCATGGAACTTAAAATTGTTATAGACTTTTAACTGAATAGGGATGAATTCAATAGGATGAAGATATGTTCCTCCTATTCAATGAAGTGAATAGAGAAACCAGAGAAATGTTATATGTAATAAGGTATTATCATTTATAGTTGTTCAGCAGGTAATAGATGTTCCCATTTAAAAATCAAGAGATTAAAAAAAAGAATATAAATTACTTTAATTCTGTGATCTTCTGTTTCAGCCACAGTAGCTACTCTAATAAGCGTAGGATTCCTCTTGTCAACAGCTTCAAGTTTCATATTCTTCTGAAATCCATGAGAAAGTTTCTACAACAGAAGAAAGTACTTTTAGTTTAAATTGTATCTATTATTTATACCACAATGTTCTATGCCCAGGATAGGATTCATTGGAAGAAGCTTGCTCTCATATGCACTTCACATGAAAGGAACCAATAATGCTGATATTCTATAAAATGTTAGCTAACTGTATAAAATTATTGAGTTGGTTGACAATTTGGGATCCTTTGGACTCTTAAAAAACAGGTAGTAACTGTGGTCAAGAGGGCCCTGGCAGTTTAACCTTGTGTCCCAAATGGGACCTTTTCTGAAATGGGAGCTATTACTCATTGTCACTCGTGTATTAGTGAGTTCTCAATTGGACTATAATATTGGAATACACTCTACGTGCCCTTGAAGCATTTGGAAGCTACAATTGTTCCAAAATACAGTAGGTCAAGCAATTAGAATAAGTCAAGCAATGGCACCCACATAACACCTTTACTCCTGGTTAGTTTCCGGTTGTTGCTTGTCACCTTCTCCTAGTAACATCTGTCTGCCTAATAAGATGTAGTAGATTGTGTCCTTCTATCAAAGACTGCCATCTTCAGGGACCATCAAATTATACCTTCTCAGCTGTTCTCTTCCCATCAATAACTAACAGCTCCAACACCAAAGTAGCCACTTCCTCATGGCTTTCAGGAAATTAGTGAAAATTTTGATTGTCAAACCATCAAGCCATGGAGCCTGGTTCACTGTAATTATCCCTCAGGAATAAGCAACTGTTTTATTCTTTTGAATATTTCTCCCAGTTTTGTGTTAATATTTATGTAATTATAATATACATTTTTTTTTTAAAAAAATGATTTATATTGCTTTTAACCCTATAAACCAAGTAAATAAAAATAAAATAAACCATGTATCTAGTATTTAACAAATCTTCTTTTTTCTTGTATTGGTTCAGGAAGCAAAATGATACAAGTAATCTTCAACTTACAAACATTCATTTAGTGACCAAAGTTACGGTGACACTGAAAAAAGCGACTTATGACTGTTTTTGATACTTATGACTGTTGCAGAATCCCATGGTTACAATTGGCAACTGGCATGTATTTATGACCATTGCTGTGTCCCAGGGTCATGTGATCACCTTTTGCAACTTTCTAACAAGCAAAGTCAATGGGGAAGCCATATTCACTTAATAATTGTGTTATTAACTTAACAACTGTAATGATTCACTTAACAACAGTAGCAGGAAAAGTCATAAAGTGGGGCAAACCTCACTTAACAACTGTTTTGCTTAGCAACAGAAATTTGGGGCTCAATTGTGGTCATAATTAAGAACTACCCATACATTGAAAATGAGCCATGTTTAGGTAGTGCATTTCCTCAATTCTCCTTTCATGAAATATCATTAAAAGATAAAAAGGGAAGAAATAATAGTTAAGATATTGTCTTATATCTTAAATATCTAGGTATTGTCAGGGTGTTGGATCCGGCTTGAAGATCAATTATTGCTCAATTCTAAAAATGAGAAAAATATATCTAAAGTCAAAGCAACAAGATCATAACCTTAGATATTAATATCTATCACAGCAGCAATAGTGGCGGTAGATAATAAGCAGAATGAGTATGAAATGTTTCTTACCACTTTAAAAGCCCTAGCAGGTGCAGGTAAGGAACTGGTTTCTTCCAAATATTTTTCCCAAGAAAAATGTTTGCCATGAGGATAGTCTAATTGATAAATAATGATACAAAATTTAAATATATCATGCATTAGATTTATTCAAAGCACTGTGCATCAGACTTCATTCAGTTAAAAGGAATAAAATAAACATGATCTACACCAGAGGTCCCCAACCTTTTGGGCAACAGGGACCGGTTCCGTGGCGAGAGGTTTTTTCACGGACCGGAGGGGGTGTGGTTTTGCATGCTGCCTGGATCCTGCGGATGGGGCTTCACTTGTTTGCACGGACCAGTTTCCGGTCCACGAACTGGGGGTTGGGGATCCCTGACCTACACAATTCCACCCTGCTTTGTAGTGGGTTTTCCACAACTCCTTGCACAGTCAGTCAATGCAGAGGAGTGCTAGGAATTGCCATTTACTAACATCTGGAGGGATAAATATTTTCACTGCAAAGTACTCTACAAAGATATTTTTTTTAAGTGGAATCAATTAAGACTATCGGACTTCCGGTGGCAGGCGATTTCGCTGGTCGCAGCTGTTTGCTGCCTCCCGCCTGTTTTGCGTAAAAGCCAGTTTGACAGCCAGCATCTGCTGTCAAACGGCTTGATACCTTTCCCCTGGGCATAAGGGGATCGGTGAGCTGCCCGGGGTAGGAGTTGAGTTCCCGAGTCGTCCTATATGGACGATGTAGGCGAGAAC